AATTATTGGAAATGTTATAATTTTTAACCATTTTAGATACAAGAATGATTTTTTTTTTTTTTTTTTTTTTTTTGATTTTTACCATTGACAAAACTATTAATTTTCCTATTTATTTACCAATAGATTGATTATACACAGTTGTTAATGTTATCAGTCAACATGGTGGGATATTATATAAGTCACCTTCAGTCCTGATTGTGGAGTAAATTACTACTAAATTACTGTAGAAATCTAAAAGTTAGCCCTAAAGCCAAATTTTAAAAGAAAAAAAACTTTCAACTTCAGATCCTCTGTTTTTAGTCAATTAATAATGCTATAGAAAATTTATGGATTTTTTGTTTTATAAATTAATTCCAAGTAATTAACCTATTATTAATTATGTCCTGTACGCCACTTGCTGTTGTGTATACCACACTATGATATTTTCTCTTTTACACACTCTTTTCTGCTATAAAATAATTAAGTTGAAATTAGTACTATGTACTACACTGATTGGTTGTGTCTTAGTAAATGTTAAATATATGTTTTGTAAATTAATATTATATAGTTAAACTCAATGTACATCCACTATGTACTATAACACTGACAGGGAAATGCCCATATTTCACACTCAAAATTATGTTTACTAATGGGGGGAAAAAATGTTTAAACAAAAAACCTCACCATATCCAAAGATGCATTACCTTACATATTTAGGATCAGAACAAATAAAGAAATCCTATATAGTAAAATGGATTATTTTGTATACGTACATATAGGCTGTATTCAGAGATGTCCCGTACGGCAAATTTTGGCTGTCCCGTAATCCATGCTTCCATAAAAGTTTTAAAAGGTAGTAATTCAATTCAAAGTCAATGTTTATTTGGAAGAAACAGGTGTTTATCTATTCCTAGGGATCCTAACTCTATTTTAAGTATGGCTACATTAAGTTTATATAAGGACTTATTCAGAGATATCCCGTCCTGTCTTGTACGTCATGCTGACCTAAAATTTCTGGAAGGTGGTAATTAGATAAAGTCAGTGTATACCTGAAAAGAACTGGTGTTAATGTCTCCTTAGGACTACTGACTTCATTTTAAGTATGGCTAAAAAAAATTTTCACTGAAAAGATCAGACTTTTGAATTTATTGATTAAAATCTGAAATTGCTCTGTGTCTCATATGCCACAAGCTTTTTTTATATATATTTCCTCCAAAAACTTAATTTCAGGTAAAATGGTAATCGTGTGTTGCTACTTATTGTACAACATACATATTGTGATAAAATATTTTCCTTCAAGGCTACTGTATTAATTATTAATCAGACTGCAAAACAGTATCTGAATGTCCCATACGCCACTTATGGAATAGCCCAGCATAACACTCATCAGAGACTGATATACATCATTATCAAATTCATCTGTGTGACTTGGTTCTATACTGCCAAGCTTAATAGGCTCTTCTCTGGAGCAAAAGCTAGCATAGAACAACATTCATGTATGGTGAATTATACTGTACTTTTAATTGTAGGCATGGTGGTATAACAATTCCAAGTTTCGTTGTTAATTCAAAATACTGAACCTGAGTTGATTTATAGTTTATTTAAAAAAGATTTAACAAATTATATTATTCCATTCCATTTGTAAATTGTAGCTGTAAAATAAGATCAAAATCAAGTCTGTAGCACCTACAGAAGCAAAGTTGTGCAAGTTTAATGCGCTAAACATTTTTTCCCCATAGACTACGTGTATATACCGTCTCCCAGCCTCCAGTATTATTGTGTTTCAGTATATTTATCATAGTATGTGGTTGGAACCCTTCAGAAATCCGAAATTAAAAATGTAGGACAAATAGAAAATGAAAATAAAATGTTATTGTTGAATGTAAACAGTGTAGTAATGTAATGGTTAAATTTACATAATTAGGAAGAAATATACATATCTTATTTTTGGAGATTTCTAGGCAGCAGCAGACATAATAAAAAAAGAAAACTTTTTGGTTTCTTTCTGAAATTGGCGGGTAATTGACCAAATAAAATTTTGTTTTTATTCAAAATCATCATTATTGGCAGGCACTTGGTTCACCTTATACTACTGTATATCGAGGTACTGTAGTGTCTCTTAACAACAATATATTTGATAAGCATACTTAATATAGAAAATAACTACCTAAAGCAGCTTTTTAATTTTATCTTCGTGATTTGTTGATTACTGTTATTTCAATCTGACTGTTAATTCTGACATTGGTTGCTAGCACTTTTGTCATGTTTTGTTTCCATAATGCCCTCTAAGTTAGCTAGTAGGCACTAAAGTGTAAATGCCCCTCAATAGTAGACAAGTAAAGAACTGAGGATGTGAATGAGTGACACAACACTGTAAAGTTTCTAAAATTTATTGCAAGACCAAAACAAATATTTCTGGGTTTCTTTGTTACACAAACACATGTATTGATTGAAAGATTGAAATATTTTCTGCAAGAAAGCCAATTATATATTTTAGAGATTTTAGGTCAGTCAGGCTCAGGCCACACAAAGTAATTTTTTTACTTGCATCTCTTATATTTCATTTCAAATATTCTCATTTTCCCACTGTGGCGAATAGGGACAATAATCGATGTCGAATTCATATGTGTGGGCAGCTGACCTAGGCCCCTTAAATTTTTCAAAATAAAAAATAAATGAGAAAAAAAAAACTTAATTCTAATGATGCCATTTCCGGCCATAATGATAATAGTTGGGCAGGCCTCAAAATTAGGAAAAAAGTATGTTGGCAAAAAAAATTTTAAATCGTTGGTGCTATAAAATTGACTCCGGTTATAACGTTGGCAGTTTTTAGTTTCAGCTACAGCCTGAAATCAACCCATGCTGACCTGTTATAGAAGTAATGGATGTCTTTTCAAGTCACCCAATAAAGCTGGAAAGCCTAGCCTACGTAATGATATTCAAATTCACAACTAATTATTGATAAAATATTGAACAGTGTTAATGTTATGATGATGAATAAAATGAAACTACAAATCTCTGAATACCGAATTCCCAGAAAGCAGAATTTCACGCTAAACCAAACTTTCTTTCCCAAAACCATTCTGAATTCTGGACATTTTATTCAGTTCGGAACATAAATTTAATAAAAATCAACTTTTTCCAGACGAAAATAACGCAATAATAACGCAATAATCACACAACACCCTGTGAATGAACTATCGTACAGCTAGCTCAGCCAAGCACATGTTTGCCCATCCATGGCCCCACGAAACAAATTAACCAATTTGCGGGCAGAGTTTACGAGCTACGACTTAATGTTTACACGAAGAATGAGTTGT